CCGCTCCCCCCGTCCTCCTCCCAGCCGGCCCCACTCCCCTCCTGGTTGGTCCCCACACCCCATCTGAGATCAACTGTGTCCGGTATTTTCTTTAAATCATCTAGTAACCCTAACTGCATTTGGCAGGCACACCACTGCAGGCCAAGTAGATAATTGTGTCTGTCTCCAAGACTCTGGTTCAAACTATGCCTGGTATTTTTTGGTCTAAAGTTTAAGAACCACCCTCCAAAAGTATACTGATAAATTGGAGGGAGCTCAGAAAAGAACAACAAAAAGATAAGGGGGATGCAGGGACTGAAAGATTAACAGAGCTAATGATCTACCTCTTGGTTAATCAAGGGGGATTGGAGAATAAACTACAAATATTTGAAGGGTGTGAAAGCCAAGCTGCAGGAGTATTTAAGAAGGTGGATACTCTGAAATGTAACTAGGAATAAAAGGATGAGGTTAAGATATGGAAAGATAGGCTGTGTATTAGGAAAATCTTCCTGGAGTATTGGTTTCTGGAATGGCCTCCCCATGCATGTGCTAGCAGCACAGATGCATGTTATTTTTTAGAACTTGCAGTTATTAAAACACTTAAATTCATAGATTTTTTTAAAAGGCCAAAATGGACCATTTGATCATTTAGTCTGAGCTCCTGGAGAAAACAGGCTGTACAATGTCATGCAATAATTTCAACATCAAGTCCACAACTTCATTTCCGTGTATTTTTGAGAGAGGTATCCAGTCTTAACTTCAAGACATCGAGTGAAGGAGAAGCTGCCTCATTCCTTGTTAAATTGGTCTAATAGTTAATTACCCTCCCTTTTTAAAGTTTGTGCTTAATTTCTAGTCTAAATTTAATCTAGTTTCAGCTTTGTCATTAGAGCGCATTATGCCTTTTTTCCGCTACAATAAGAGTATTGTCTGTCTATGTCTGTCTCGAGCTATATTGTGTGCAGACACCTCACTGGAAAGTGTAAATTCATTCTATAGATATTGCAGTCAGCTGAGCTCTAAGCTCCAGCAGTGTTGTAACAGCAATTTCCAATGCTCAGTGCCACTCAGAATCAAGCCCATACTAATTTTACTGCTGAGCAAATGATGGGCTCATGGTTCAGTTTACCACCCTGAAAAGGAGGATTGATCTACTCCTGCAAGAAAGCACAATGTTTGATGGCACGTTTAGTGACCATTGAAGTGGGGAGCCATATAAGAATTCAGACTGATAAATGTGCAGGATCTTCTGCTTTAAATGTTGCCCTAATACAAAGCCAAATCTGTACATGCGTTTTGCAGGATAAAAGGCATGGGTGGCGGGTATAATAGGCCAAGAGAAGCTCAACCTCCCCTGATCCAGGTTATGGCCCTGTCCTTATTCCCCCTTTTTCCAAAGGTGGCAGCTTGGGCAGGGCTGGGGATCAGTCCAGGGCTGAGGCTGGCTGGCAGCCTGGGGGTCTGGATGCTTTGGCTGGGGCTCCTACATCTGGGGCCCAGGGCAGAGGTAGTCTCAGGGCTCTGGATGAAAGGGGGCAGGCCTTGGGAAGAAGGAATGAGGTGGGGAGGGCTAGTGTCTCCAAAGGGGACTTGCTGCCCATGCGAATGGGCATTGCTTCCTCTGCAAAGCTAAGCATTACATTATAAAGACATTTTCCAGAATGAGAACCAGAGCAGCTCTGGAACTTCACATGTCCCTCTTCTACTTTGTATATTTGCATTTTGCTCGCTGTAGCTCTCGACAGTCAGAGTAAAAGAAACAAAGCAAAACACCACTTCTGTTCACTGCCAATCAAATTTATTTCTCAAACTTCCCAATCAGATTTATTTCCCTCTGATTTTTAAGTAATGTGGGTGTCACTCCAGCCAGCTGTCTTATACCTGGTGTCTCTTAAACCAGAATCATGCTGATTTGAATTGACAGTGTCACTTACAGAAGTTATTTTCTATTTTACATCAGTCAACAACTAAAAACTCGCTAGACACCAGATCTTAGAAGTTGAATGGGAACTTCTCTCTGTTATTGAGCATTCTATTGACCTTCAGTGAGATTCTTGGAGTTTAGCAACCAGCTTGAAGTTTAGAAAGTCACTTGATTAATTCACACAAACCCATTACTGTAATTCTCTCTGTCATGTGTGATCACTCAGAGATGGTGCTAGTCATTGAATACTACTGCTTGGGGTAATTGCCTTCAAACCTTCTACTGCCTGACTGAAAGCTACATCATATGATCCAACAGCACATGATCAGCAGTTTAATATAGTTTCTGGAGCAAGGCATACAAAAGAAGTTTGTAAAAATAGTGACTACATGTCTCCTTAGCGATGCTGCAACATGTGTTTTTAAAGGTTTGGTTATAAGATCATGCTTTGTCTACTATGGACTATTCCATCTTACAGATGTGGATTTTTTTAATAACATTATAACTAGGCCTTGGCAAGCAACTATAATTCATGTTCTCATTGCCATTTTAGCATCAGAAAACCATAGGGGCACATAAATGTATACAAATATCAGGGGTTGTGCATTTTTACACCAACCAGCTTCTGTGGTGTTAGTAGCGTAAGTTTTGATAGTACAGTGCCAACTTTAGAGCTTAGCTATGAGCTAGCTCCTCTGTTTATGCCAAGTACACAAGTATATAAAATCCCCTTATTCAAAAGGAATGCTAAGAATTTTCTTTCTTTCACTGGCCTTAGTAGGTGTAATTCTAGAGTAAGTCAATAAACCCAAAATACACATCAGAAGTCAGAATGTAAGTAGCGGGCATAAAATTTTCTCTGCAGTTTCTTGCTCGTAAAGATAACTGCTTAATTCATTTGAATGAAAAAGACCTTACTTTATGTTATAGAAGTATAAAACATTCTGAGTTATAGTCGAAGTTAAGATTCCTCTCTTATATAGACTAAATAAAAAATTGATACTGACATCATGATAAATAAGCTTTGGGACATATTTACATTTTGCCCACTGAAAACCCCATAAATGGTTATGAAAAGAGACTGTGAAAATGAAAATCCATGGCTTTAATAAGAAGCAAAATATAGGACAATGCAAAAAAATATTTCCCAAAAAATCTGTTGCAATGATATGGAATTATTCTGCTTTAAAAGTGAAAATAAAACAGGCATGAAAGGATGTTTAGTTTTGTTTTCTCTCACGATGCAGAGTAATTTACTGAAATTTGCTGCTTTTACTGTACAATGTCTCAGAAATACTAGCAAACCAGTTATTAACAAGTGAGGTTATTCCTCAAATAAAAGTAGTGATTTAAAAAAAAAAAACAGTATGAATGCTATATGATTGCAACAACCTCCCCTCTCCTGAAAGTTTAAAAAAATCGAAGAAGTTTGATAAAATAACCCAACAAGTGTTTTTTCTTGGTTAACTACAAAAACCACATTATGGATCCTAATGAGTCTTTTTTCCTCTGGAAAATGCATGAGCAGGCCATTTCTCCCTCTCCCACCACAATAACCCAAAACCTCTTAGGGTTGTTAGGCAAGGTCAGTGACAACAATTTGAATGAGTGGGAAATTGTAACAGTGATGAGAGAGACTGTAAATGTGCCTCTGGCACAGTGTGGACGGTCAGGGATGGGGAAGAAAATAAGTGAGACTAGACAGAACTGCCTTAGCACTAACATCCCAAGCAGAGGGTGGGCTTCCCCTCCCCTTGCTTCGCGGAGAACTCTGAAGTGTTGCACTAACCCAAGGAATTCACTCCTAGGTCTCCTCCATTGTTTTTAAAGCATCAATAGTTCCCACTTCAAGGCCTGATTCTGACTGGAGTTAGCACTTTGTGCTAAACTACACAGAGATTTGGGGCAAGGGAATTGGAACCCTCCCTCTATCCCTTCTCTTCTCCTCTGTACTAACCAGCAATGTCCCAGAGCTGCAGCCGTATCACCGTCTCAGCATCCCAGTTGAGCACCTTCAAGGCAAAGTCCACCCCAATGGTGGCCCGGTAGTGTGGGGAGAAGTTCTGGTGCACATAGCGCTTGATGATGCTGGTCTTGCCCACGCCCAGGTCCCCAATCACCAGTAGCTTGTAGAGATGCTCTTTCGGACTAGGCTTCTGCATCTTCCCTGCTGCTGCTGCTGCTCTCTGATTGCATGCTCTGCTTTTGGGATCCTGCTAAGCTGAGGAGGAGAGGGGGAGTGAAGAACCAGGCAGGGAAGAAAAGAGGGGAGGTGGAAGCTCCCTCCCCTAGCCTAGGAGCAGAAACGCCCAGACCCAGCAGCCAGCCCAGCTGCAGGGTGAAAGAAGCAGGAAAGCAAATCAAGCAGGAAAAGTCTCCCAACAGTTTTCTTTGCAAACTTTAGTGTGAGGCGTGGCTGTGTGATAAGTAATACTGCAGGGACTAAAGGGTTTGCATGGAAGATAGTGTAATAGATAAACATTGAAATGTTTCACTGCTTGCTGCAGGGAGATTCCCTGCAGTTTTTAAAGCAGTTTTTAAGGATGCTCAGCCTTTAACGATGGATATTTTCCTCCTCTCTGTGTTTCAACAAGCATACAATATACGAATCATTAAAAAAAATACAAGAAGAAAAAGAAATTTTGTTTCAGACCATCAAAGCTTGGGTAAGACAAGACCTACACTTAAAAGTTTTACCTTTATATCTACGGTTAGAGGCATGGTAGTTGTTGTTTTACCATTATAAAGGCAATTTAGTCTCTTTTCTGTAACAGTTAAACCAATCTAAAGCATCTTTATATCAATGTCACTCCATCCACATTAGAGGATTTTTATCACTTTAACTATATTGCAATAGTTAAAACAGTACAGTATTTAAGGGTAGGCAAGTTCCTAGCTCCTAAATACAGCATACAATTGATTTACCAAAGATCTGTTGTGTTGCTCTTCCTGTTTATAGAACTGGAATTTCAGATGAAACATGATGCACACCCTTTCCAGCAGCATTTTCCTGGGATGCTGATAAAATGCACTTATGAGAAACAGGGTAGTCGTTGCTTTGTTTACCCAAATGAAAAGCCCCAACCCTGCAAAAACATGTGAATGCTTAACTTTTACAGGGTTAGAGTAATCCCATTTGCCTAGGCTATGCAGCCTAGGCTTTCATTTTGAGAACTATCGTGGTAATGAATGTAAATCAAAATTTAGGAATTGTAGAATATTTATAAGGCAGACAAGGGACACAGCGAAAACTCTAGCCAGCAGTAATAAGGACAATAAGAAACAGGCTGTTTTTTAAATATATTAACAACAAAAGAATCCTGAATAATAATCCTGAATAATAAAATAAAATAATCAACAGTAATGCAGACAGTACAGAAGTGCTCAGTAAATACTTATGTTTTGTATTAGGAGAAAAACGGATGATATATTCTTAAAATATGGTAAGGATAACACTCTTTACACTCCATTAGTATCTCTGGAGGATGTTAAACAGAAAGTAATAATGTCAATAGGTCCAAATAACTTACATCCAAGAGTTTTAAAAGAGCTGGTGAGGAGCTCACTTAACTGTTAAGATCTCTTTCCATAATCCTGCGGGCATTGGGAAAGTTCCACAAGACTAGAAGAAAGGTAAAGGTGTGCCATTATTTAGAAAGGATAAAAGGGATGAACTGGATAATGATAAGCCTGACATAGGCTACATCTAGACTGCTGCTTTTTTTCCGAAAAAAGTACACAAATTGCACTCTGTAATTTGTGTACCTTTTTCCAATTGTTTTTTCAGAAGCGGCTTTTCCGAAATTTGGCCCATCTACACTGGGCCAAATTTTGGAAAAACTTCCTCTTTTGGAAGATACCTTCTTCCTTGTAAAATGAGGAAGACAGGGCTTCCGAAAGAGCATGTCTGCTCTTCCGCAAAAAATGTCGGAAGAGTAGACGCGTTCCCCTGGATGCAGCGGGAGTTTTCCCAGGATACCTTTGGTATCCCAGAAAAACTCTGTAATCTAGACATAGCCTCTTTTCCCACACAAGCCTCCTGTTACCATCTAGGACATAAAAATCAAATTATCACCTTAAAAAAGATGATTTTATTAACAAAAGAGAAAGATATACTTGATAAGGAATACTTGGTTGCTAGGTGTTTCAGAGCAACTAAGGAAAGAGCAGATTAAAACACAGAGAAAAAATGATATATCTGAGCACGAGCTTGGGGCATAGTGAATGGGGGGAGGGAGGCACATGGATTCACATAGAGAAGTTTTACCAAACAGCAAAATAAAGAAAAATAACCTGATCATGACTAAATATACATTTCCCCTCTACTCCCAATCTGTACGGATCTGTACTTCAAGGTCCAGTCCAGTCCCATGCCAATATTTCTTGAAGGCATAATTCTGGTTGATTATTTCATCTTGTTCCTCCAGTTGCTGACTTAGAACTCGCACAAAGAGAAAGGGCAGCAGGATTTAAATTGCAGCACTATATCCCATTGGTTCTTCTGTCCCCTTGCCAACACTCTTAGCTACCTGAGTTTAACCCTTTAGGCACGAAGTGCTGGTCAGCACTCCTCCTTTCCATCACAACACCTCTCAGCAATTTCAGCTGTTAGTGGGGAAGCCTCACTGGTGGTACACACTAGACAGTCTCTTGCATCAGAAATACTATCCTGAGTTTAACACTTAAATCTAGACACCAGTGATTTCAGATTTGGGGTATGTAACAAGATAGTCAATTGAGTATAAATTAACCATTTTATTAAACAGTGGAGAAAGAAAGGCTCAGATGATGACTGATAACCTTAACCAGTGCCCCCAATACAAGCCCCTAACCCCACCTTCTTCTTACACACTGGGCTTTGGAACCCATGTCACCTACCTAGCAATTGCTATTTAGTTGAGGATGAGTCCCTCAGTACGGGTATGACAAATACAGTTCTGCTGTCCTTGATTCACACAACAGCTGTGTCTAGATTGCATCCCTTTTCCGTAAAAGGGATGCAAATTAGACACATTGCAATTGCAAATGAAGCAGGGATTTAAATCCCCCCCGCTTCCTTTGCATAAAAATGGCTGCCACTTTTTTCCGGCTCAGAGCTTTGCCGGAAAAAAGCGCCAGTCTACACGCGGATCTTTTGGAAAATAAAGCCTTTTCCGAAAGATCCCTTATTCCTTATTTTAAGACGAATAAGGGATCTTTTGGAAAAGGCTTTATTTTCCAAAAGATCCGTGTGTAGACTGGCGCTTTTTTCCGGCAAAGCTCTGAGCCAGAAAAAAGCGGCAGCCATTTTTATGCTAATGAAGCGGGGGGGATTTAAATCCCCGCTTCATTTGCAATTGCAATGTGTCTAATTTGCATCCCTTTTACAGAAAAGGGATGTAGTCTAGACACAGCCAACCAGATTAATAATGCTTTATTACTCCTGTCCCAATAAAAAAGAGATGGGGAATCCAAAATCAGCTTAAAGCAATCATTTGGGCGAGGAATCACATCATGCTGAGCAACTTACGCAGGCTGGGTGTGGTTATACAAATCTCCTGAAGGTCTCTTCCCCAGCTCACCAGTAGATATCAGGGGAAAGCTCATTCAGATCCTGCTTACATTTATAACTGGGGAAAAAGAGAATGTAGGCCACACTTAGAAGATGGGAAATATCCTGGGAAGCAGTAACTCTGAAAAAGATTGGGGAGCAGGGCACAATCAGCTGATCATGAGCTCCCAGCATGATGCTGTGGCCAAAAGAGCTAATGTGATCCTGGGGCGCATAAACAGGGGAATCTTGAGATGGAGTTGAGAAGTTATTTTTTCTTTGTATTCAGCACTGGTACAACTGCTGGAATAATGTATATAGTTTCTGGTGACTACAATTCAAGAATGATGTTGATATACTAGAGAGGGTTCAGTGAGGAGCCACAAGAATGATGAAAGATTGAGAAAACGTTCCTTACAATGATTAAGTAACTCAAGGATCTCAATCTATTTAGCTTAACAGAGAGAAGGCTAAGGGGAGACTTGATTACAATTAATAACATGGAGCAGCTATTTAATCATGGGCTTTTCAGTCTAGCAGAGAAAAATATAACACTATCCAATGGCTGAAAGTTGATGAAGCCAGACAAATTCAGACTGGAAATAAGGTGTAATTTTTTAACAATGAGAGTAATTAATGATTGGCACAACTTATCAAGGGACATGTCACTGACAATTTTTTTTAAATCTGGTAATGGAAGTGGCAAGAGAATTTAAATAGAAAGAAGCCTGACAGAGATGAATAAGAATATTAATAAAATTTTAAATAGAAAATATTTTGAAGGTGTTTCCCTTTTGCCAAGTTTGAAATTAATCCACTCATTCTTTTAAAAAAATTGTTGCAAACATGTTCTCTCAGAAGTTTTTATCCAAACATTTATTTAAATGGCCAGTGAAATTTTTTATGTATTCAAATACAGATTTTTTCCAAGCACTCACAACACATCTGTGAGGAAGAATGTATCAGTGATCCTATTATATAAATGAGAAAACTGAAGCTCTGAGTGGTTAGGGACAGAGGAAACATAGGAACTGACATACTGGAGTAGACCCAATATCCATCTTGTCCAGTGTCTTTTCTTTCAACGTGGCCATACTAGATGCTCAAAAGAAGATGCAAGTAATCCCATGATAGGCATAGGATAATTTGCTACATATTAATGTTTCATCTCAATCCCTAATAGTAAGAGAGAGACTTAAATCCTAAATTTCAAGGTTTTATATCCATGTTAACATTTTTGCTAGCATTAGCTATTATCATGCTGGATATTCCTGTAACTCATAAAAATGTCCAATCCCTCTTTGAATTTTGCCAAACTCTTGGCCTCAGAGACATTTTAGAATAATAGAATAATAAAATCATAGAATTATAGGACTGGGAGGGACCTTGAAAGGTCATCCAGTACAGTCCCCTGCACTCATGGCAGGACATAGTATTATGCAGACACTTGATAGGTGCTATCTGCTTTAAAAATCTCCAGTGATTAAGATTCTACAACTGCCCTAAGAAATTTATTCCCGTGCTTAACCTCCTTGACAGGAGATTTTCCCTAATGTCCAAACTAAACCTCCCTTGCTGCAGTTTAAGCCCATTGCTTCTTGTCCTCCAAGGTTAAAAGGAACAATTTATCTCCTTCCTTGTAAAATCCTTTTATGTACTTGAAAGCTGTCACTATATCACTCCTCAGCCTTCTCTCATAGGTCATGCTTTCTAGATCTTTAGTCAATTTTGTTGCTCTTCACTGGATTTACTCCAGTTTGTCCACTTCTTTTCTGAAATATGGTGCTCAGTACTGGACACAATACTCAGATGAG